AACGACTCTCTCTCTCTCTCTCTCTCTCTCTCTCTCTCTCTTCTCTCTTTTCTCGTCGACATCTTTTTTAATATTATATATGGATCTATTATTCGAAGAATACATACCTCTTATACAAGATATAATGTATAAGAGGAAATATAAAATTTTTTCAATTTTTTCACAGAAGAAAATTTTGAAATATATAAAGATAAAAAAAATATATGACTAGAAAACTTAGAAAAGGAAAATCTAAATTAAGTCAAAGTAAAAAAAATATGAGAAATAAGCATTTTATATTTTATAAAAAAAGAAATTAAATTTTTTTCTTTTAAGTTAAAAATGTTTTTAAATTAAAAAAATTATATTACATAGCGCGTAAAATTATAAATAGAACTATTGAATCTTTTAGCATCTTGTGAATTGTGGGTTTTAAACATAAAACTTATGTCAACTTTTCTTGAATGAAGAATTAAAAATCACCCGATATAAGCATTAGTTTCCTGACAATCGGTAATTTCGATTCGTTTCATCCCGAGGAAGGGTGTTTCTTCACATTTATAGTTATTTCTCAATGTAAATACGCGTGTGTTTGTTTCGTGTTAAAATAGAAATTATACGAGACACGGAAATACACTTAAAATAATCGAAAAGCCTCGAACTGGAATGAAAGAGTAGAATACGAACAGACGGATTTTTGAGATCAAAGAGCGATTTTAAAACGAACAAGTCATTTACTTTGAGGGATCATGGCACACGTGGAAATTCCGATGGGAGAAATGCAAAATCTGCTGGAAAAGCAAAGTAAATCTACAAACGGGTAATGTGCGAATATGCAATTTCTTTCTAGATTTAATAAAGTTCGGATAACTTAACCTTTAAGTAAATGCCACGCTGTACATTGATAATACAAAGAGATCATGGTGTTATTCTTTACATAAACTTTAATCAGTGTATTGTAATAATAGAAATGTATTATAACATTTTTCATAATAGCAATTTTAATGATAAATAATTGATTTGGAAACATAGAATAGCTATATAGAAAATTAGAATATAGAAAGTCCATTGTTTGTTATATTAATTAATTTTTCTGTCTATATTATTTTACAGATTTGAATTTTTACAACTACCTCAACTACCACTTAATCAGATAGGCTATCCTCAAGCTCATGATTGGATTGAACATAGAAAAGCAAATATTCGGCCATGGTCATTGTTTCTTAATACAAACAACATTAGACCACCACCTAATATAACCAGATTAAGCAAACGGGTTGTGAAGAATATTGAGTATTTCCAGAGCAATTATCTATTTGTATTTATTGGATTAGTGATATACTGTTTGTAAGAGATATTTCATTTTATTTTATTAATCTGTTCTTTTAGTATTTATAATAAGATGCACAAGTTTAATTTTGACTGTAGTCCATTTAATATTAGAAATATTTTGAAGCATAAAATTAATAAATTAGGACAAAGAAATCTAATAATAAACTTTAAAATATTTATAGCATTGAATAAGTGATAGTATTCATTAATTATTTTAGCATAATTTCATTAAGACTGTGTATAACAAAATTTATAATTCTTTATAGAATCACCTCACCTCTGTTATTGCTGACAGTTGTTGCTTCTCTTGGGATATGTTATAAAATATCTCAGCGGCATTCAAGACAGGAATTAATGATATTCAATCATAAATTGACCCTAGCTCAAGTATATTCTTTAGTTGGAATTTGTTCATTGCCTGTATTTTATCTGGTTGGTGCACACGCTGCTGTATTTTGGGTGCTTGGTAAGTAAAAGAATTGCAAAATATAAATTTATATGTAGCATAAGAAATAATTTTATCCATGTTTTTTTTCAGGAGTTTCATGGTTTTTAATAACACTTCATGCTGCCTTTTATAACATTGATGCAGTATTGTGTCCAGGAGAGGAAGAACTCAATGCATTAGTTATGCAGGAAGTATGATCAGAAAGCTCATTTTCTACTAAAAAATTTTTTGGTATCTTAAAATATTCGGAATAATGAATTTATTTTATTTACTTTGTATGCACATATGTTTGAATAGTAAATTGAATAGATTTATATAAAAACTAATATATTTACACATTACTTAATAAGTTGACAAATATTACTTCTTGTATATAATATATGTATAAACAAAAGCTATATCAATTAAAATGAATCTATTTATGTAATCCATATATATCTGTATATCAATAATAAGTATTTTGCTGTATACATTGCGATTGCAAATATATTTATAGAATAACAAGTACATTATATATATGTATAGAATAACAAGTACATTATGTATATGTATAGAGTTCATGTATACGAATCTATAATGCGGTTTTCCAAATAATTGTAAAACAAGTTTGGAAATGGGATCCCTTGTTTCATACAAGTATAAAATTATTAGAGTATAGACGTATCTTCGGATGTTTTTTAAGATTTTAAACGGAAGGAGCAATTATTTCCTTAAGTAAAATCAACAGATTTAAATAATTTTGATTTAACATATTGCTTCAATATTCTAATAGCTCCGAAAAAAGCTGAAACATTATTAAAAACAAATATTCAAAATGCACTGATGAAAAGCTCAAAATTGTTTATTTGTTATCCACTGTCAGCAATAACAAAAGTAGTGATTCTACCAAAAAAAATATACATTTTTTTCATATATATATATATATATATATATATATATATATAGTATTAGTATATGTGTATGTGCACACACACACACACACACACACACACATACACACACTTAACAGAAAGAGTAATGCGCATTAGATGTTTTCATAATAATAATGATATTTAAATAATAATATATATTTCGAATATATCTTTAATAAAAAAAAAGCTTTTTCTAATTAATGTTACTAATGCTAACAAATATAAAAGATGTATATAAGTATACATGTATATGTGTGTGCAATGATATCAATTCAATGATATCAATTAGAAAATTTTCTTCTATTAAGCAAATTGGCAATCGAAATATCAATATATTTAATTATATTATCATACTGCACGGACAGAAAATATAAAAAGAATCTTTTTTATGATTTTTAAGCTATCAATTGAGTTTAAGAAATCAATTAATCTAGCTATTATTGAAATCTAATAATTATGTCTCTGCTCAATGTCGATCGCTCACGAATGAACACTGCGTAAACTTACGAGCTACTATCATGTCTCTTGATAAAACATCCAACGCGTGCTGCTTTTAATTCATAACTTAAATCGCTTATTAGTTTCACTTGCTCTCGTTTAAAAAATATTGCTTGGACTTGCAATTTTATTAAAGTTTTTTTTATCCGTTTTCACACAGAATCTCATTGTATATCTCGAAATTTACGTATATAGAATAAACACACGCAACATTTATACGAATACGAAAAAAATATTTTTATATTTTCACTCAAATTAATAATAAAACTTACTACAAAATGATACCAGCCAAACATTTTGTGTGTATGGATTTTAAATGAGTCTTGAATTTACAAATTTACACTGTAATAAAACTGGCTGCAAACCACAAGTCAAAATATTTGTCATAATAGCGCGCGATATCTTTGCGGAAATTTACTTCCTTTAGATGTTGAATCTATTTTTCTTTATATGATTATACATAATATATAAAATTTACAACTTGGTAATGAATTATAATAATAGATGCTTTTTTAATATTAATTTTGTTAGATGAATATTCATTGTAAAGTATATTTTAATGACTTTGATGATAAACATGAAATTGAAATACGTGAGAGAGAGAGAGAGAGAGAGAGAGAGAAAGAGAGAGAAGAAAAAGTAATTTAAGTGATAATGTAAAATTTAAAAAAGTCTAAAAATAAAGTCCAATATAACATTAAAGAGGTTTGTAAGAAATAAAAAATCTTTGTTAAGAAAAGAGAAAATTCTACTATAATAATTATGATTATAACATATATTGTATGGAATATTCATTTTATTTTTATTTATTCCCCGCCTTATACAAGAAAATAAAATGGGTGTGACAAAACAATTTTAGTATTTCCGAGTGAAAGTACTGGTAAGAAACGCGCTGCAATCATTAGATGAAGAAGAAATGTACATACGTGTAAGTGTTTTAGTTTATTAGTCACGTTTTCTCTTTCGCGATAACCATACTGATAAACGTGGCCACCACATATATACATACGTTACTGTTCCTGCGTTGTCAGTTCTAATGGGATCTCTTCAAAAAGAGACGACCACGCGTGACGTACATATTCGGTATGTGACACAACATGCGACTGCCGTACAAAGTTGGAGTCATGTAGTGAAAGTAACAAAAAGATAATTGTTAAAATTCGGCTTACATATTTTTCTTCTTATAATAATGACGTGTTTAGGTTTAAGAAAAACCGAATTCGACCGAAACGAAGTCTTCCGAAGATAAACGTGGCGGAATTGGTTGATAAATGAACTCGAGGGCAATATTAGGTAAGATATATATTGTAACGCTTTCTACGATGCATTGTTAAAAAGGAAACAGCCGACAGCACGATTTTAAAAACTGGATGTCGCACACGCAATGTCCGAAATGAAACTTTGCGACTGCTTTTCGGACGCAAGTGTGATCTCGAAGGCACATATGCTTTGATTAGCTCTTAAAGTTAAAACAATAAATTATAATCTATCTATTTGTGATTAGTTTTATTTATGAGTATATATGCACACTATGTGTTGAAAACGTCTATATTTAGAAAAAGATGATTGTGCGTTGCATGGCTGCAGAAATGTGGGAAACCTTTCGATTACCTTCACTTGTTGCTATTCGAATTATTAAGTTATTATCCTTATTATATAAGAAATTAATAATGAGAACATGTTGTTATGTCATGCTTCTTCGAGTTGTTGATTCTTGTCTATTAAGTTTGCATGATGCACATGTTTGTTTTGATTTGCATAAAGTAGGGTTTGACAATCGGCGGGTTTGACAATTTATTGAATGATGGAAGAGGATGACGAGGAGGTTTCTCTTGCATGTGTGCGACAACGTGAAAACAGTGTTCCTGGATCGAGCTTATATCAGTCGGTGCAAAACAGTTTAAGTCAAGGCTCGGAACAGACATTGTATCAAAGCGTTCATAACACTCTGTATGAAGACACTATAAGTATGAACAGTATGCACAGCGCTGTCTCCCTGGATAATCTCTATCCTACACATACGGATGACTCACCCACTGTAACTAACGACACAAAAGAAACGGTTGTCGATGGAAATTATACAGACATTAAAAGTAATATACATGACACGAGATTGGTAAGAATAGAAAGATTTTTTTATCCTGTAATTTATATATAAAATATTGATTGAGACATTGTATTTTTTTCTTTATTTATGTATAATTATTAATATATAAGTAATATGAAATCTATAATTAACCATATCTTTAAAAAAATAGCAGTTTTAAAAGTATTTCTAAATTTATAATTAGTAATGAATTAGTTGTGTAAGTAGAGACTAATGAGAGACTAATAAATTATTAAAGAATTATGTTAAATTGACTACTATTTCTTTTATAGAAAATAGTAATCTAATATTTTGATTTATTTTTCAGCTTTCTCATTCTGGTACAAGATATAGTTTATATTTCCGTGATGAAATACGTTCAGTTGATTTCATACTTGTGTGGGATGAGTATAACGGAGAGGCACAGACTTATCGTAGCATCAAACGCAGAAAGGTAGGTATAAATTGATATATAAAATTTTATATATATGTATAATTTTGTCATTTACAAAACTTGTATCATATGTATTTTTAGATATTTGAAAAAAATCTGGAAAAAGAAGGATTACAATTGGAGTATGAACAAGGTGAATCAAACGGCTTGCACTTCATAAAGATTCACGCTCCTAAGGAAGTTTTACGTCGATATGCAGAAATATTAAAACTTAGAATGCCCATGAAAGAATTGCCTGGTTGTCAAATGCCTCAGGCAAAGAGCAGTGTTATCATCAAGGAAGTTAATTCGTTTTTTCGACGTATCATGAATAAATATTATGTCGACACAACTATCTTCCCAACAATGAAGCAGAATTTTACAGCGGTGTATAGTAGAGATAAAGAATATTTATTTGATTTGGATTCGCCAAATTTTTTCACATCAGCAACTCGATCGCGTATTGTGCAATTTATATTAGACAGAACTAGATTTTCGGAAACAAAAGAGGACGATTTCGCATTTGGTATCGAAAGATTAATTTCCGAAAACGCTTATGTCGCAGCGTACCCGCTTCACGATGTAAGTTATATTTTGTATCATTTCATTTTCATAAAAAATATCGAAATTATTTTGCGACACAAAGTAAAATGATTCATTTGATATTTATAAATATGTTATTTATATTTCAGGGAAATCTTCACACTCCAGATTCAATGCGATATCTTTTGTATACTGAATGGGCTAGTTTGAGAAAATGTCTTCATTATCAGCCTTTAGATTATATCAAAGAATACTTTGGAGTGAAGATTGGGCTTTATTTTGCCTGGCTGGGATTTTACACTCACATGTTGATACCAGCCAGTATCGTCGGTTTGTTATGTTTCATATATAGTTGCTCTACTTTGTATTATAACGAACCGAGCGAAGATGTTTGTAACGCCAACAGTACTATTGAGATGTGTCCGTTGTGTGATCATTTTTGTGGCTATTGGGACCTAAAAGAAACATGTTTACATTCGAGAATTACATATTTGTTCGACAATTCATCAACGATGTTTTTCTCTATATTTATGTCATTATGGGGTATGAAGCTAAGTTTATCAATTATATCTTATTAACGAATTATAACAAGAACAATGGTTATAATTGAATAATCTTTAATTTTATAGCTACCTTGTTTCTCGAACTGTGGAAGAAATATTCTGCCGAAATAACCCACAGATGGGATTTGACTGGTTTAGATGCTCAAGAAGAATATCCTAGGCCACTATACTTAGCACGGCTTGCGCATATTAAAAAGAAATCTATCAATATTATTACAAATACTGAAGAACCAAAAGTGCCATACTGGAAGATGAGATTGCCTGCTACAATTCTCAGTTTTTCAGTTGTTCTACTTTTGGTATATTTTATTATTTTTTTACAATATTAGAGAAAAATTATTATTAGAAGAGAAATATCCATAATTTGATATATTTCTAATATTATAATATTATTTATAATATTTATATAACTATTTCTTATAAAGTTTATTACATTTATTTGTATTATAACTTTATAGATTGCTGTAGCTATGGCTGCTGTACTTGGAGTAGTCCTATATAGAATGTCCGTTTTAACTGCATTAAGTGTTTATGGAAACCCGATGGTAACCAGCTATGCTATATTGTTTACTACTGCGACTGCAGCAAGTATTAATCTTTGCTGCATCATTTTGTTTAATTGGCTCTATGTTTGGCTGGCAGAATATTTGACTGAGGTAATTTCATAAGGGTCTATTTATTGAGAATACATTTATGTATATGTTATAAGGAACTATACTTGAAATATTTTATAAAGATCTCATTAAGATTTTATTAAAATCTATTTTATCTACATATTAACTATTAATTATTGTATCGAAGAATTAGTTTATAATAACAATTAAATTATTTTTTAATATATTAATACAGTTAATAATTTTTAAGAAGTATTGAATATAGTTGAATATAGTTTTAATTGTGTTTTAATAAATGAAATTGCTTATTATTGTTTTTTTCAGATTGAATTACTTCGTACTCAGACCGAGTTTGATGATAGTTTGACTCTAAAAATTTATTTATTGGAGTTTGTAAATTATTATGCTTCCATATTTTACATAGCATTTTTCAAGGGAAAATTTGTTGGTTATCCAGGCAATTATAATCGTTTTTTTGACTTTCGACAAGAAGAATGCGGACCAGGCGGTTGTCTTTTAGAATTATGTATCCAATTGAGTATTATTATGATTGGCAAACAAGCTCTGAACACTATCTTGGAAATGCTTTTCCCGTTATTTTACAAATGGTTGAACACTTTAAAAGTTCACGTAGGTTCAAAAAAATTGGATGATCCTAATAAAAGATATTCATCTAGAAAATATCTGCAATGGGTCAGAGATTATAAATTAGTTCAATGGGGACCTAGAAGTCTTTTTCCTGAATATTTAGAAATGGGTGAGAATAAAAATAAAATAAAACATTATTTATTATACTAAAAATTAATAAATACGTAATTAAGAAATATAAGTAATTAAAATATATGCTAGACTTTTACACAATGAAGTACATTTGAGAATTTTGTTGAAGAGTTATAATTTTTTTTGTAGTGTTACAATATGGATTTGTTACAATCTTTGTTGCTGCATTTCCATTAGCGCCATTTTTTGCATTACTGAATAATATTTTTGAAATGAGACTAGATGCAAAAAAGCTATTGACCATGTATAGAAGACCAGTTGGACAGCGTGTCAGAGATATAGGCATATGGTACCGGATCCTCGATTCTATTTCCAAATTATCTGTTATTACTAATGTAAGTTTCATTCAAGTTCAAAAGCAAATATAAAACTTTCATGTTTAAACATCACATGTTTAAACATCAATCGTATGACACTTGAAATTTATGAAAGAATTTATCACTGAAGAAAATTATTATTTTACAAAATATGCAATAATTTTTTATTATAATCATAATAATACATTCTAATTTTTTTTTTATTTAATTTTTTATTAATTCTGATTTTCAGGCATTCATTATAGCTTTTACCTCGAACTTTATACCGAGATTGGTTTATCGTATAACGATTTCTGATAATTATTCATTAGAAGGTTTCCTGGATCATTCTTTGTCAAAATTCAATACTAGTGATCTGAAAAATGGTACTCAACCAATGGTGTTACCGGGTCAAACCCCAGTTGAAATCTGCCGCTATCCAGATTACAGAGAACCACCAGACTCTCCAAATAAATATGAATATACCATCATGTTTTGGCATGTACTAGCAGCTAGATTAGCTTTTATCGTCGTTTTTGAGGTATGTTGTATTTCATGTAGATTTATTTGTTTTAATTTGACGAATAAGAAAAATGATAATTGTGCTATCGATATATTTATATATATTTTAGAATGTCGTGGCACTTGTGATGATCTTTGTACGATGGTGCATTCCTGATATGAGTTCTAAGTTACGCGATAGGATACGTCGCGAAGCATACATTACTAACGAAATTATTATACATCAAGAGGCACTACGAGCTTGTGAGAGACCTGAAACTAATAATGAACCAAAAATCGTGAAAACATATATGATTGAAAGTGCTAATAGATGGAATCGAGTTATGGGAAATTGTTTGTCGCCATCGGAATTCGATCTAGAAGTCCATGGAAGTCCTGTTTCGCCTATTAATACAACTCCGCATGTTAGTTCTGATGAAACAGTCTGATAAATACCAAGGATATTCATCAAATTATGTGATTCGCGAGTAGCATAAATTCTTGACAACTACTAGAGCGGTGCAAAAAGTTCATCCTTTATATAAAAAAATAGAATTTATGAAATATAAATTTAAATGCTATTTTTATAAGACATTTTTTTTGTTATAAGCTTTGGTGTTGTGATTTTTTTTAATATATATTTTTTTTCTTTTAATATATATTTTCTGAAAGGAAATGAAAACTTTCTCATTTTTAAAAACTTATTGACAGATTTGAAAAAATATAATAAAAGAATTGCAAGCTTTTTGCACTTCAATAATATCGTGATTTTCCGCTAGTCGTGATATGGATTTGTTGGATATTTAATGATAAAAAATATTTTTGAAAGTGTGTGTGTGTGTGTGTGTGTGTGTGTGTGTGTGTGTGTGTGTGTGTGTGTGTGTGTGTGATTACTAGAATGAACTTTTCTAAATGCTATTGCAATAGCTTTCAGAGAAATAACATAAATTTGTGTGTATTATTTCGTTGATTTTATCACGAACGATTTAATTGTTATTAGCATTTCTGAATTATAAATTTTTACTGCTATTTCTAATTATTCTTATGATATTAATTATTCTTATGATATTAATTATTCTTATGATATATTCTTATGATATTATGTAAAATAGTGAAATATGCGATATATAAAATGCATAGAATCTGTATTTGTAAATCCAATGGTTTAGTTTTAATGGAATTAATTCAGATGATAAAATGCTAGCAATTTGCCGGAAAATTGGCAGACAATTCAAGCAGATTTTGATTACAAATCCATAACAATCTGTATCGATATTAAACTCAGAATTTATCGAAAAGCCTGCTGACATGCTATGCCAATATATTAACAGTAAAAATCGAGCAAAATCTGTACATGCAGACAAGACAATGGATTGACAGCAAAAATCGAGAGTTGCAAATCCTGCTCGGTTTTTGCCGCCAATCTGCTAAAATAGCGCGTTAACAAACTTTTTTATTTTTGACAACAATTTGCTGACATCATCAGATATTACCGACTCTATGTGCAATTTGTTACCTTTCTACCATCAAATATTAGTAATAGGTTCTGCTCAAAATATGTCCCTGCAGATTTTGCTATCTGGAATTATTGATAATATTCTATCAACCTCTATCAATATATTTATGATTTATAACAAATGCCATAAATGCCTGTAAAATATTATATGCCTAACTACATATTTTACACACAATAATTAAGTACCAATTTATGAATGTTAAAAATGCATTTTAAAAATTTTAAAAATCATTTAATAAATAATTGATATAAAATTATTTTTTACATTCAAAGTAAATCATTGGATACAATGTTGGAAAATGTTTTATAGATACACTGAATATATTGCATATATTGTTTATAATTTATATTATGTATTGTCGAAGATTTTTACTATAAAATTTAATCTATTATCATGTTAAAAATACGAATTTATAAAGATTATATAAATTATATGATACTTCGAGATATTTCAAGAATTTCTTATTTAAATAATTATAGTTTATTAGAACATTGCTGTGAAGTATTTGCGAATTTTATTATATTTTTTTTAGGCTTGAGTTTAAAACAAACTATTTGTTCCTTTTAATATTTTATTTTATTTTATTGTGATACAAAAGAGAGAGAACGTGCGTGCGTGCATATGTGCGCATGCATGTATGTGCACATCTCAAATTTATATTTGACTTGTATTAATATTTTAAATAAAAGGAAAAATAATTAATATTTTTTTAATTTTTTGCCCTGTGTTTAGGTCCCTTATAGAGATTTAATTAAAAGATACTGATTAATTAATATAAAACTGGAAGTTACTTATTTTGAGTATTAAAAGCACAAGAACAACAGTGTTTTTAATACCCAAAATAAAAGTAATTTCCAGTATATTGACCAGTATTAAATTAAATTTTTGTGAGGAATACAAATAAAATTGAATTACTTTATGTCTTTATAACAGAATGAAATAAAAAAATACATTTGTTAAGTGTTAAATGCGATTTTATCTTTACAGCGTCAATTTTTCTATAATATAATGTGATGTAATATATATTTGTATTTAATGTAAATAACGATACTCTTTCAGATGCTTCAGTGCGACCGAACATATCGAATTTTCGATTGTTAATAATTTGAACACATTGTACGAAAAGTACATATATACACATCATTTTAACGGTTTTAACGCGGTGCTGCGGTCGCACCGTCTGTATTGCGATCTATGTTCGGTACATGTTTTTTTTCACATTCGATAGTTTAAATTGCAAATTTATTATACGTTTTTATTCGATACGGCATTTGCATCGAATTTGGCATGAAATTTTAGCGCGATAAATACGAAAAGGAGAGACAGCGATTCTTCGACGAAATAATGGGTACTGTCCATGCTAAGGTACGAATTTATTATTAGAAGTTGCAGCATAACCTAAAATCTATGAGATCCTCCGGAATGAGTAATCTCTAATAATACACTGATATGAATCATTTTTTAATTATTATCTGAAATTCTGATTTTATGAATTTATGTAAATATATTAATCAGCGATAATTAATTAATTAAATTCGCGACGAATTTCACATAACTTGAGCTTATTACTGATTTTAATAAATATGAATTGATGAGAGGATATCTTTGTTTTTTAGGAACCTAGTAATCCTTCAGGTTTAGGTCAATCACCTGAGGAGAATGCCTCCGCAAATAAATGCAATGAGTCACCAAAAGCGGGTGATTTTGTATGTTGACTATTTATATAATAAAATATAATTCGTTTTTATAATTTATGATAATTTATATAAATTTATGATATGTGACCATAATTTTTTATCATTTGGCTAAACATCTAATTTGTTTAAATTAAAGTTTAAATTCAGTATAGCATTTTCTTTATATCAATTTATATTGATCTTTCAGTAAAAGAAATCATTAAAATTTTATTATTTTTTTACAGCCATCATTTTCCAATAACAAATCTCAGTTATACAGGGAAGAAGAGAATATACAAGCAAAAAATATCTTTCTCCAGACAGTAAAGGTATGGCAATAAAAGGCATTTACATATTAATATTTAAGAATTTTGAATCTTGCTTTTTGTTGTAGGCACGAGTCGATAAGATACATGTGGATGGACTTATACGAACAAAGGATGATATAATCAAATCACAAGTGATGGATTTATTTAAGGCTACCAATTTTGAAGATGTTATTATACGCGCTTATAAAGTACGGGAGAAGTTAGATTCCCTGCAATGCTTTAAAAATATTGGAATTTACATCGACACCAGTCAAGGACCCGATGCCACTCCTGATGGTGTTGAAGTGGGTCTATATAATTACACATTAATTCGACAAAGAATAAGTAATTTTTCAGATTTAAACCCATCGCAGTTTGTTTATGTAAACCGCATGTAAGCATGTATTGTTTTCTGTAATAATTAATTGGATTGCATTCATTATTAGGTCACTTTTATGGTACGTGAAATGAGACGCCTGGGTGGCGCTATCAGTACGATGATTGGGAACAATGAGGGATCCTTGATGATTGGCGCAAGAGCGCCGAATCTGTTTGGCAGAGCAGAACGTATTCAAGTGGAGTATTCACACGGTAACAAAAGTTCGATCAACTTCAATGTATCCGCCATTAAACCATTTCCACAGAGCTTGTACAATGCAGTGTGAGTCGGGATATCTGTATTTGTATAATTCTTGATACGTGTATCCTTAAAGTTGCATTAATTGTTGGATTAATGGTTGCAGGTTAACTGGCACTGTATTCAGCACAACGCATGATTTCCCGTGGTCTGGTTTTAAGCAAAACGACAAAGGATTGCTCCTTGACATGGAATTCCATCAGACGGACACTTCCAAGCATAATATACAGTATGAAGCTGCATTTAGAAATATAAGTTGTTCGAAACAGGCGGCCTTTCGTGTTCGGGAACAATGCGGACCGAATTTGAAGTCGGCGTTAAGATACATTTGGACGATAGATAAAAGAGACTCCTCTATATTTCCTATTACTGGGAGCCTTATGCGATTAACGACAGAGATGGCTGGGTTAGGTGGAGATATAGGTTTCTTGAAGAACGAGCTTGCCATACAGACTAATTGGTCGCCACACGAATATCTGATAAGTATATTTATCATCTTTTCTGGAATATTTGTTATTTCTTCTGTCCCTATATATTTGATCGTTTATTACAAAATGCTTTATTATGAATTTTCTTCTTTTGAACAGACATTCCAGCTAGGTCTTCAGGCTGGGCTGTTAAGTGCGATCAGTAACGACATGAAAATAAGCATCGCCGATCATTTTTTCCTAGGCGGTCCGCTGAATCTTCGAGGATTCGATATGAGAGGATGTGGACCCCGTTATGATGGAAATTCCGTAGGTGGCGAAATGTATTGGGCAGCAGCTCTTCACATATACACGCCGCTACCGTTTAGGCCCGGTCGTAATAGTTTCGGGGATTTGTTTAGACTACATGGTTTTATTAATGGTGGCAACCTGTCTAATTTCACGTTTGCTTACGGTAAGCAATATAAGATTCGATTAATTATTTCTATTATTAAAACGCAGAAATATTTTTCACTAGGAATTGATTATCCAACTTATCATCAACTTACCGATTTGGTATATAAATATAATTATCCTAAGTAAAATTAAATTTTTTTACGAAATTCGTGATCGATTACATGATCGAGCCTTATCTATTTTTGTATCTATATTTATGTTAATCTTAATAAATATTTTGCAGAGCATTGTATTAATTTTTGATATATTAATTATTTAATTTCATAATTTTGTTATTTATATGTGTTTCAAATTTTCAGGTAATCTATATAATGAAAACATGAAGATTTTCACAGAAAACGTTCGCTGCACTATCGGCGGGGGCATCGCAATGAAATTAGGAAATGTTGCTCGCGTAGAATTAAACCTAGTTACACCACTATTGTTCATGAGAAGCGATGTGCTCCAACAATTTCAATTTGGTATAGGCGTGCAGTACCTCTGAGCATTTCTTATATTTCGATAGTCTCACTGTATTATTAACTGTACAATGAATTGGAATGTAAATGAAAATAAATTATGTGTAAAATAAATTTATTTCCGTTAGATATCCGAATCAGAGATTTGAGGTGTACAATATTTGCAACAAAGTCGCAGAAAAATTGTACGTTATCTTCATCGTCCTTTGCGAGTGAAAATGACGATTATTCTAAAAATCTTTCCATTAATTGTTATTAATCGAATTACGATGGATGAAGGTATAAATTTGATCTCTCGCATATGTTTTACAAAAAGTCAATACAATCAACAACACATATGCGACAGATACTGCGATTTATTTTTGTAACAATACAAAAATATCTATTTCTTCGATAGAGAAGCGATTTTCTAACAAATCATGCTGTAATATATAATATTAACAATTTTGAAATTGTACAATTATCATTTCAAAAAATTACAAGAAATTCTAGTTATTTTCGAATTTGATGTAAAAAATAAAAATATTCAAAGATATTGCACAATTGAAACTTGAAATGGTCTCGATCATTAATACTTCGACGTCGATTTCCATCATTCTAAACTCCTATCGACCTTTTTCCGTTCGTTCACTTTCTGATGCAATTTCACGTGTTCTATCGATCCGTTTGCGTGATCGCATACCGATCAACAATACTGTTGACAACATTACACGAAACAATCATTGAAAATAATGAGCATGCATGCATGTATAAGAGGTGTATAGTAATAAGAGGGGGCAATAAGAGAGACAGCGGAGTGCAAAGTCATGACTGAATAATCCAAATGACGAATACGAAGAAAAAAAGAGCGTTGGGACAACGAGAAATAAAAGTTCAGTGTACGTTTTATAAAATCGCATTTTGTTATCGCGATAACAGCGGCAATGAATATCGAGTGTATATTTGCATTTTCATATATCTGTATATTTATCTATATTATATTCTGTTACATTTTATGCATGACATAACTCCGGAAAATATTTCGTCATTACATATATGAGTCAGCTAGTGCTAAATAAGAAATCTCGATGACATGCATGACTATTTTTAGATTTTGCTCAATCTCAGACTAATATTCATCAACAAATTTTTTGATGGATATTTTCATTCATCATTGTGATCTTATGCGTAATAATTATTTTTACAGATTTTATGTAATTTCTAAACCACGTGCCGAATTATTATCCGATTTTAAAATAAATTTATTCGATATGTCCAGTAAAAAATGTTCCTTAGAATATGTCTATTATAAATATATAAA